GCCTACATGACACATATGTTCAAATGGCTGTCACCCCCAGTGCTGAGAGTTCGTACTCGCACTGCTACGAAACAGCTCTACAGCTTCGACCCTCACATGCTGGACACTCCCAAAGCACATGGTGGAATCTTTCAAGGGCAGCCTGCAGTACCAAGGGCCAGTCCTGTGGAACTGTCTTGCTGCTGACCAGCGGCAACTGATAGCAACGTCAGCTTTTAAAAACGGACTGTAGATGACCGCAGATGAAATGTGCCTATATTGTATACTGTGATTGTTTTGTATAATATGTAAATGTTTGTAATATTTGTTGTATATTGTTGCGTTGAACTTGTGTATGTAATTTTTAATGTGTGCCCAGGGATACCTGAAAATCAGATCAACTGATCTGAGGTATGCCCTGGTGAAATAAATAAACTTGAAACTTGAAACTTGACGCTAGGTGTTACTGGTTCACTGTGCACTGATGCTAGGTGTTACTGGTTCACTGTGCACTGAAGCTAGGTGTCACTGGTTCACTGTGCGCTGAAGCTAGGTGTTACTGGTTCACTGTGTACTGAAGCTAGGTGTCACTGGTTCACTGTTTGCTAGGCGTTACTGATTCAATGTGCACTGAAGCTAGGTGTTACGTGTTAAGTTTAACTGAAGCTTCGTGTTACTGGTTCACCGTACAATGAAACAATGTGTTACTGGCTCGCAGTACACTAGTAAGCTAGCTAGGTGTTGCTGTTTCATTGTGAACTAAGGCTAGGTATCACTAGTTCCCTTATAACAAAGGGTTCTTCGACGTAAAACAGTTATGACATGCATGATGTGTTGTATTTTTTCTTGTAAAAACAGACGATTTCTGCTAATCTATCGGGGGCTTGAGGTGTGAGTGTGGCCAGCTGACGAAATGTCACCTCCCCAAGGACCGATGTGATGGTCGCCCGATGTGTTATGTCCCGGGGTCTCCCTACGATTGCGCTGATGACGAAGAAAACTGCGGTACTTGGTCGTTTTTTTTTGTTACCTCCATGAAAAATTGAGGTATTGTTTTTTTTAAGCGTATTTGTCTGTCTGTCTGTCTGTTTCCGCAACGTTGTGGTCAGCATAATTTCAAACACGCCTTTATGGATTGTGATGATATTTGGTATGTTGATAGGTCTTAGAAAGACAAAGGTCAAGGTCAAATATGGGCCTCCTAATGGCTGACCTTGGTACTGCAGCAGAACCTCCGGTTTTAGTATCTTTTACCCTTAACATGCTATGGTCTTGACTTTTTGGTGACAAATAGATTGTCTTGTCAGGAAAAAGTGGTATGGCCAAATAAGTCCAGATAGGAACAACATATTTTCATCATTTTTAGTTTGTCGGTAGCTTAGAGAGACATGTACATAAATAGATGCATATTATGCCAATGAAGACTTCATCTGGATAATTATGTGGCCCTTTGAGAAGTATGATCAAGATAGCATGTGTTTGTTTTGAATTGTCTCTTTTCGTTATAGAGGAGTATTGTAATGACAACGGGGGCTTCTTCTGTGGAGAAACAAATGAATGTAGAGAGTCACACATCGTCTGTGATGGGCATCCTGACTGCACTTTTTTCCGCTTCGGAGGCTACATCCCTCCACCAGATGAACTGGGATGTGGTAAGGCCTTTATCTGATGAAAATGATCTGTTATTGTTATTGGGATTGCCAGTTACTCTCTCCAAGCAGACAAGGGCTAAATTGTGAGGAGCTTGCGATTATTATACGTAGGGCTTAGTTGGAAGTGTTTGGGGAAGCTGCCAATCGGCAGTAACTCAGGTTGCGGATGCAACCATATGACTGAAAGGTTTTAACCACTCACATTGGAAGGTCCCCTGCACTGTTTATAAAATTGTGATGTGTTCTTAAACGTGCGTGGGGTGTAGCTATACCCCAAATACGGGACCTAAATTTAACATCCAATACAAGGGACGTTGAGGGACGTCTATAATAACCAAATCTATTTTCAGTAGTGGTACGGTGTCGTTACTTTCAGTAGATTACCCTCTTTTGTAAAAAAAAAATGCTCAAGCCTACTTTTCTTGCCCATGTTACAATTTACCCAGTAAACTGTAATATGTGAAAGGGAAATACAAACTTAAACCCACGTCCAGATAAAACTGGGCAAGGTTAGAGCTTTCTCGGTGGTGGAAAACAAAATTCTTACATCTTACAACAAGGGCTAGAATGATACGCCTTCACCTGACTAAGAACTCTGTGAACTACTTGAAACAGTCTGAACAGTTCTAGTATTTTGTGCCACCTGTTAGAAGTTAAATAAGTTGTCGTTAAACCAGATCAGCTTATAATAGACTGAACACTCCCCGCAGCAGAACTGATCGTTATCAGAATAGTGCTCTACCGATACCATTTATTATCCGCCTGCTTAATATGTAACACTGTCACGTTTTTTGGACGTAAGACATATTCTTGTGTTACCACAGATCTGCATGGTTATCTAAAGTGGTGTTAATTTGCACTTGGAATCGTTTGTTGACAATTTTTATACATGGTTAGTTAACTGTTTTAAATTGCTTACATGAAGTTTTACATTGTTAATGTAATGTCCCGATATCATTTCAGTCATTTGGGGCTACCATTTTTTGGGACAATGTTGTTGTTAATGCAAATAGATCATTGATAGATACAAAATCCATGTCTATGCATATGGTACGGTGTTGTTACAGATAGCTGCACTGGGCAACAGGTTTCGCACGAAATCGCTACCGACATTATTGGCTATGAGAACTCTTACCATCACAATTATACCTGTGGCCTGGGAACATGTCATTCTTGGATCTACCTGTGTGATGATGTCAATATATGCGGGAACTGGGAGGACGAACAAAACTGTGGTAAACATGTTTATATCATTGTCATGTTTATGGCTTCACCACACTACGAACCGGTGTGATGAAACATTGTGTTCTCTTATGTTTCTTCTACTTTTCTGCCATAATTTCAGATGGATTCAACTCTGCTATTTTTCAACTAAATGACCTGAAATTTTGCAGGCGTTTTTAGAATTTTTTTCTGCATTTGCTCCGAAGGAAATGTCGACCTCCAAATGTCGTTATGTGTACCTTCGCAGAAAGAAATCATAATGCTTTCGCTTTTTTTCCTCCAATTCTTTCTCCTCCTGTTCCTCAAACGACTTAAATCCATTACCTGGACTAGAGTGGCTGCAGAACATATATCATATATGAATGTGATTGAGTAACAATAAACAGAGCAGTAGTATGATAGGCTAGACCGAATGTGACGGCAACCATTATGCTTTTGCTTTGCAAATGTTACCTATCTATTTATATTTCTCTCCACGTCATAGGCCTCGCTCACTCGGCGGTTTCTCCAAGAATTCTATAAGCAAACTAAAGAATAAACAGAAAGGAGTTACAACAATTTTGAATAACTAATAAAGTTAATACTTATGAACGGATTTTCTTGTCTTCTTTTTTCAGAGGCAGTAAGTTGTTTCTAAAGATTTTTTTCTGAAATTTTAGGTAATTGTCACCCACAAAGTTGTCTCTCAATACAGTGCAGAAAACTCCGTTTCTACCATCTATAAAAAAATTATATCTGATTTTCTTTTGGGGTCCGCGCGGACCCCAGCCGGCTTTTGATCATAATGGATACACTGGCGTTCTTATACATTACCTAATTTCCGTTTTTATATGTTTTTATGCACTCATCGTATGTCTACCAAGTTTTCAGAGAATGGTGCAGTAATAGAATTAAATTATAATAACTTTGGTGTAATTATGACGTCATATGACGTCAGAGCTAATAATGTAGTCCGCCATATTGGATTTTTGACCAATGACGTCATCAAATTAGCATATTCTATGCATATCAAATGATTTAACTTATATTTAATTATGATAGATGTTATTAATGTTGGAAAAGAAGTGTAATTTGATATAAAACTCAGAAATTTTTTATGTTTAAACCAAAATTACTTCTATTTAAAAAAAATGCCTGCTAGAAACCCGTTGCCATGGCAACACAAAAAACATCAACTTACTAGTATTAAACTAATATGAACTTTTTTCCAGAGACATTTTAGGAAAGGACACCAAATTTGATACTTCTAGCGCAAGCCGTTTAGCCGCTATCTGAGATCAAAGTTGGGCCTCAAAAGCCCCTTCAGTCTGAAATGGGTTTAAAAAGCGGGTATTTCTTCTTGTCTTCTTTTCTTCACCAAAAAATAGAAAAAGTTCAAAATGTATGATTTTTGTATGTAATGTGGACACAGAGGTTCCCACATCAGTTTGCAAAACAATTGAGCTGGTAGCATGTTCAGAATTTCTAAACATTAGCAAAAAACTGTTCTGGGGTCCGAACGGACCCCAGGTGTACAGATTAATCAGTCCGGGAAGGTGTACTGTTGAGGGTTAAAGGAATTTTCGTAAACATTACCAATCTTTACAATCATGTGTTAGTAATTGACGAACTGAAATTACTGGATTTGACCTTCATGTGCTATCATTGTTAGTCCGGTACTGTTCACAAAGTAGGGGGGACCGGTTAAAGGTCATGCGCAGAAAAGGCATTTTGTACACTTTTTTTTTTTACTTACGAACAACTTATTTCCATAATTAGTGGGAAATTGATATGATGCCATAATGTGAACCACTCCTAAATTAATACTTGCCACAGCTGAAAGTTAAGTAAAGATGTACTTAATTAATGCAATCTACAAACTCATGACCTTAGTTGTATCATTTATAAGGAGATACGACTGCAATTAGGTGGAGAATGTGATCAACTTACATCATTCATGCAAATGAGGCTCTTATTTTTTTAATCACTGAGTGAAATGTATAAATTGTCCACCTCAAGAGTTAACATCATTTGGCGAAGGTATGAGATCGTGAAAGTCTTTATTTTCATGCATTCACCATAGATTTCATTAAAAAGATAATTCGGTCCTCCCTCCCCTGAAAACATTACCGGACTTTACTTTCATTTACTGCCTTTGGTAAATCCGATATTTCGCACAGTGATGACAACTTCCTTACACTCACTACAGAGAAGACGTGTTAGGTCACCCAGCACCAGACGATCGGTATCTGTGGCAGTGTGTGCCTGGCCTTTTAAACAGGCGGTCCTATTGGTTGGTTGCTGACTGTCCTGAAGAATGAACGGACGGCTTGACTAGGGAACAGTGTTTAAAGGAGGTGGATCCCTTCCTCCCCAGTGAAATAGTTTACAGGATGCCTGTGAAAGATGATTCGAAGGAAATCCCTTACAGAAACATATTCTGTGCTGTTTGTAACAATGTAACCATGGCGAATGTAACTCTTTTTTCGTCGCAAGTTATGTGTTCTGGACAGCTTATATCTTCTGCACTAACCTCTACAGGTACACAGGAATACAGCAATATGCTCAGTAAACTTGGCCTTGAACATGGAAAACTGGGACATTGCCTCGGAACACACAGGATAGAATTCCTAGTTTCCAATGAAAGATTTTGCCTTTTGACTGAAACAGATTTTTCAAATGCAAATTGTAATATAACTGCCTGCATGTCCTACTCTTATCCAGTTGCCAGTAAATATAGGGTCTACAAAAACCTACACTGTGCTCTTTGTGAAGGTCTTTCCCTTACCGCTACCACAAATTTAAGGTGCGGTACCTCTGCTAGCACGCTACTTGATTGGAGAACTAGCAGTTGCCTTGACGATGGTACTTGTCACTATGAAATTTCATTAACTCATTTATTCAACTTCAATACCGCTGAGAGTGGTGAAAACAATCCGTGTCCCTCCGGCACTGTGTACGATCCCTTTGTAGACAGTTGTCGTCATTTCTCAACCACCGGCAGAAGCTCTGGCTCATCAAACAAAACCACCGTTTTACGAAACTGCAGCGAACCCGCTTTGATTTTCGCATCTGAAGAGTTCCTTGTCCTTTCCAATGGCAGTGTTTACCTGTTGAGTTCTAACGTGTCCTGTCCGGCTGAACAGGTGGCCATTTCTAACGCTACAGCCTCAATCTGCGGGGAGTGCATCCTGCAGTACTTCTCGAACGACACGCGCGGAGGGCAGACAGTCAACAGTTGGGAGGCTAACCAGGGTTGGTTAACCTTGGGTCTTGTAATAGTGTCTACCGTAGCTGTGATTGTCTTCGTGGTCCACACTGTCAGGTCAGGCCAATGGAAGAAAGTCCCAGAAAAGCTGAAGGTTCAGGTGACGACGTGTATGGCAGCTGCTGAAGTCATGTTTGTACTGCGTGTTCTCGTCCCTTCTGGACCTGGCTGTACAGCGTATGCGATTCTACTTCATTACCTGCTGCTGACAGCATTTACATCAATGAATGCATTATCCATGGATCTCTTCCTCACGTTTCGTGACGATTTAGACAGAGCAAAACTGCACAAGTACGTCTTGTATACTTGGCTAGCGCCGATGATTGTAGTCGTTGCCACAGTCATTGTGGAGTTCGGCAGTTCTGTCAGGGTGGGGTACGGAGAGAACTGTTGGATCGGCAATCCAACAGCCAGTCTGGTGGCATTTGGAGCTCCCGTCTTCTGTGCCCTTGTGGTTAATGCAGTCTTGGTGACTTTTGCCTTAGTGGCCATACGAAAGTCATTTCAGATAGCCAACAGGGCCATGTCCCGCTCACAGAGCAGCAAGGCCTGGGTCTACTTGCGTATCTCGTTCCTGATGGGGTTGACCTGGATTCTCGGCTTCATCTATCCCTACGTCAACAGCAGAGTTGTGGAGTACATCTTTGTTGTGCTGAATGCTTCGCAAGGCCTTCTGCTGACGGTGGTGATGACAATGACGGGGGAGGTGTTGGAGAAATGGAAGTCTGCGATCATGGCACGCTTTGGTATGGTTGACCCTCATCAGAACAATGGAGCCACTGTTGGCAAACAGGAGACAAACACAAGGGGGACTGAGGCGACGGCTGCACAAATGCCCATGATGACTGATGGAAAGAAAAACAGGGCTCGCCTTCATGCTTCTCGTCAAGACAATGAAGCCGTTAGCCGCTGCCGGCATCCGACAGACCAGTGAGCAATCGGCAGTCGGTACAGGGTCAGCTACAGAAATACCAATGGCATGTTTTACTGATGAGGAGGAGACTAAGGTAAGCCTTTGTCTGGCTCAGGCCCATCAGGACAACAAAGCAGTCGCCACTGTTGGCAACCGGCAGACCACCGTAGGCGGAACTGAAGTAGGGGCAGATGGGACTGGGTCTGCTACAGAAATACCCACGGCACCTTTGTCCGATGAGAAGGAGGCTAAGGAAAGCCTTCATCTTGCTGAACCACGTCAGGACAACAAAGCAGCCGCAACTGTTGGAGAACGACTGACCACCGCTGGTGGAAGTGAGGCAAAGGCAGCTGGAACTGGACCTAATACAGAAATACCTATGGCAACATTGACCGATGACGAGGAGATCAAGGCAAGCCTCTATGTGGCTGAGCCTTATCAGGTCAAGGAAGCAATCGCCACGGTTGGCAACCGGCAGACCTCAGCAGGTGGAAGTGAGGAACATGCAGCTGGAACAGGTTCTGCTACAGAAACACCTTTGAACGATGTGGAGAACAAGGCAAGCCTTCATCTTGCTGAACCACGTCAGGACAATGAAACAACTGCAACTGCCAGCAACAGGCAAACCACCGTAGGCGGAACTGAGGCAAACCCCACGTCAATGTTGACCGAAGAGGAGAAAAACTGCCCTGGTGGAGATGGAAATGAGACGCGATTCTAGTCTACATGTATATTTAAATTGCAACAGCAATACAGACTAGAACTGTGCGGTTTCCTCCTTAAAAATAAGCGCTCAAAAATTGCCAATCCTAATAACTAACTAACAGAGCTGTTCTGAAGTCTTTTGAAACCAGCTTTGGTTAAATTAACAAGCTTAAGGTCGGTGCTTGTTTCTCCGCCAAGTGACTTGCGCTTGATTGGAGACTAGTGGTTTTGTTTTCAGTACAGGCTTTTTCTGTTTTTGGATGATAGTGCAGAATGCACTCTGGGCTATCGTTAAAATCTCACTATACTAGGCTCGCCAAGAATTTTCTAATCAAAAATCATCATACCTGGACTACAACAGGCTCTGAATAATCAAGGAGGTTGGAATAACACACTTTCACAAGCCAGTATCTGGCAGAAACTAGCATAAATATTTTGATTCGAACCCAACCATATTGCTGATATAAAACCTGCTAACTATGCTTTTAGGATATTTGAATTTTAGAATAATAAACGATCAGGATTTTTAATTTACACAGGTACACATGTACAAAAAGGGCTCATGGGAGACACTCACATGTTTTGGGTTACTGTACGGAAAGGGAGGACAAATGTTTGTGAAACTTAGTCTTGAAAAGTTTATGGCTATACTCATATGGGAAACAATCACGCCTTGTTCCGTCGTGGTTTTGTTCTAGGAAAGAATCTTTAGGAGTAGAACTTCCTACTAAGAGGGGAGGTATGCAGGAAGATTTGCTTCAGTGGAATTGGCAAAACGTGTCTTTGCTGAAAAGGTTCGAGGCGGAGCACTAACGAATAAAGGTCCGCGGAGCATTCACTGTGGAAATAGCGATGTTTGGATTTCGGACTACTTAAACTGTTTGATTATACATTGTAGAATGTGTATTTGTAACTGTCATAACTTTTTTCCCTTTCGGTGGTAAGGCTAAAATTGTGTCGTGTTATGTTACTAAATAAAATATAAATAAATACACTATGGAATGTAATGCAATCAAGTAAGAACCCCTTGATGACTCGAAATGAAACATACCGATGTTTATGGGTCAAGAGGTGACACAAAACTTTAAAAAAGCTCTAGCTACATATTTTATCTTATTTGACGTTTCGTTTTATTTCAGTTTATTTTACGTTTCGTTTTATTTAAAGTTTATCTATAAGACTGTATAGAGTGATATAAAGCAAAGACTGCCCAACAAGCTGGAAGCCATTATAAAACTTACTTGTTCCTTATTACTTGCTTCATCATCACAAAACATATAAGTAATGTCACAATCATTATTTGGAGAATAATGCCGTCTTCAAGTTACTTTCTTATGTGCCATCCACTGTAAACTCTTAAGGAAGAATGTGGAATTGTGCATGAGCAGTATTAAAACACATTATTGTTTGTAAGCACATTTTGAGTTTCCACGTACATTTCAAAAGTTCATGTGTTTCTCACCTTAAATTACCTTCTATATGCTGAAAATTTGTCTGCCCTTCGCATAAAAAAATGCCATTTAGAACGCTTCATACGGAGCCAGCTTGTCTGTCAAACGATAAATATGTACGCCACATTATGTACTTTACTTCTTACAGGTAGCCCCTCCCTCCCATACCCTACCAACTGCCGTATCTTTGATATTGTGTTTAACTATATCCACCACTCTGGAAGATTTGACCAATCTCAATAATGTTATGCTAGGTATTGGTGCGCCAGCCACTTTCATTTTATGTTTATGTTATACTTTATGTCATCTTTATGTTACATTTGTATTATATTTTATGAGCAGCGGATTTACATAAGCACAACAAGTGCTTCCTATCCAATGCTCAAAAATCCATGTGAATAAAATAAAAATAAAAAAGATAAATATGTATTTAGTTCTTTAGAAAAAATCTCAGTATATGCCATATATTAATGTAAACACGAAGAAAAATTTTTGTAAACACGAAGAAAAATTTATTCTGATATCATACCAAGACTGTTCTTTCATATAAGGGTACAAGTATACTTTATTTCTTAGACCAATTGATTCAAGATAAACCATATCCATACTTAAGAAAAAGGGAAAAACAAGTATTTTTAATGACGCCCTCTGGAGACCCTAAATTTAAGAAAAAAAGAAGAAGGGTAAAAAAAAAAAGTCAAACGAACAAGATGCCTAGACTTGCAATATGTTAAGGGATGGCAATTCTTAGGACACAACGTGAATGAGAGAACAAAGTGTAACAACCAACAAGTCAATGAATTAGTGAAACAGCAGTTGTCGTCCTGTCCAGTTTTTTTTTTCCTTTCATTATCTTCCAATTTCATAGTTACAAGAAACAGAATTTCTCTGGCTTTTTTTCTGGCAACATGCCGAAATCAATAAGAGCATGGACGTCATCCAGAAAAATTACTTGGTGTGGCATAATATAATGGATATAAGACATTTTTTAGGCCACACCAATTTAATTTCTTGGCTAACGGATTCGCCCGCTTGTTTTTCTGATTTGCAAATAAAAAAAAATTCAGAATCAACTGCAAAATGCTTATATTTTGCCCGGAACAGTTGAAAAAAGTCATTTTCATCCTTGTTGTTACAGTTACTCCATCTTTTAATGCAATAGTATCATTAAAAGTTCAAAATTCATTGTTTAAATTTTGAACCAGCCTGGTGTATTGACTCCATGGCTCCTATCGTACCATTTAGGGCCATAATAGGATGTCCAGGCCTGTTTTTATTTCTCTTTTTTTTTCGCCCACCCGCTCCATTATTTTTGTGGAAAAATCCCTTAACCAAGGAAGATATAGAATGTGCCCCAGTTGTCTGCCAGTACAGTAAACATGTATCAACAAGAGGAGCCGGCCCAGTCCCCTTCGTCCGGGCCCGGAAATTAGCTTTATTGAGCAATGCATCTATGCCTAGATTTAGTATCTCGTTTGAATAGTATGAAACTAGCCATTAATTCTATTCCTTTTCTCTCTTTGAAAAGAGAGTTATATTAACGAATGTTTACTGGTTAATATTGCTAACAGTGCCTGTTCTATGGTTCTAATTGTTTGTGATTAATACTTTGACAAGTACCCAAAGACTCCCATTCAACCAAAGCTATAAAGAACAAATAGAAAAGAACAGAAAATAGTTCATTGGTGTGCCAAAGCTGGTCCGCAGTGGCATTCTTATTCCAGATACCGAATAGTACAAATGAAAGAGGCACAACAGAAGGCAGCTGGATTCTGTGAAATGGCTCTCTCTTTCTAAGCACTGAACAAGTTAGCTTGTGGGGTCGTGTGGCACAGTTGGTAGCACGTTCGGCTCTCACCCAAGAGGTCGCTGGTTCAAATCCCGCCCATATCACATTGGGAAAGGCACTTTACACGACTTTCCTCACTTTAATGGAAACTAGAGTTCCAAGATCTCATGCCTTCGACAAATGATGTTAACCTTTACGACTGACAAATTATGAATGTTTCACATTGATTATGGAAATAATATCCTCACTTGCAATTATATCCTTTGATCATATTTTCCATCCAATGACAGTCTTATCTTAAACAAAGAGGGCTATTCTAGCATTTCCTCATCACCATTTTAATTGTTTTATCACAGAACCCAGCAAATATATAGACTTCTGTCATTAATTATGTAAATTAGATCATGATTTGCATAATTGTCATCTAATTAGGTCAAGCATCACTTAAGCTACCGAGATACCAAAAATAACAACAATCCGTCAACCGGTTCTTGAGCTATCCTACTTCAAACATTTTCAAACAAATGCCTCTGTATTTCCCAAACAAGCTGCTACGGGACCCAAACTTACGGCACTTCTTTCTGAGCACGAGAGCTACCTACCATCTAAAAATCATGACCCTAGAACGTCCATATCACGAGATTTAAAAACCAGAAGTTTCGCTGCAGTACTTTCTAATTCAATGACGTGGGGACCCCCCACGAAGCCCATATCCGAACTTGACCTTGGTATTGTCAATGGTAACTTGCCCACTAAAAATAATGAACATCCATTTAAGGATTCTCGAGATATCTTGATGACAAGGAAAAAACACCAAAAACCAAGGTCAACTACAGTGACTTAGGAACCCCCCACGAAGCCCATTTTTAGCCTTGACAATGGCCACCCCTAAATCAACCTGCCTGCCAAAAATCGTGAACCTCGGACCTTGCCTTCAAGAGTTATCGTGCCTAATCTGCCAAACAGTGCAAACCCGATTTCATAACCTTCTCCGAAGGCATAGCCTTCAGTCGAAGGCAATGAGTACCTAGCTTCGGGTAGGGACGTCCTTGGATAGGACGTTAAACGGATGTCCCGTATTTGAAAGAGCATCAGCCTAAGCACGTTAAAGAACCCACTACACTTACGAAAAGAGCAGGGGACCTTCCTGGTGTGTGTGGTTCAAACCTTTCAGTCCGGTCTTACGCAGCTTGTACATGTGCGCAGTTACGCAAAACTGGTCTGTTACGCCTAAATGCGGTTTACCGGTTATGCGAAACAAACAAACAAACAGCACGAAGTGGCTAGCTGTTCATTAATGACTTTAATCTGCTGAACAGAACGAATAAGCAAAGGAGAAGACAGCAGCTGATGGCCAAAAGCTGTTCCTTTATCAGTTTTCCCTTTCATACGCTAAAAACCAAGAAGGGGCAGAAAAGAATGTGTATACTTGTGTCACCACGGCTCCATAAAACTTTAACGTACGCTCCCTGCCAAATGGTGAAAAGATCGACACGGCAGGTATCATATACTGTATTCTACAGACTATACTTGTGGAGATGAGGAAGAAACTGTCATTCCACTGGACGTATTGTATGCAACCTCCCTTCAGGTGAGGAATACAGATTACAGATTCTTAACCCTAAACAGTACACCTGGGGTCCGCGCGGACCCCAGCACTATATATTCTATAATATCTTTTTTGTTTCTAAAGATTTTTTTCAGAAATTTTAGGTAATTGTCACCCACAAAGTTGTCTCTCAATACAGTACAGAAAACTCCGTTTCTACCATTTATAAAAAAAATTATATCTGATTTTCTTTTGGGGTCCGCGCGGACCCCAGCCGGCTTTCGATCATAATGGATACACTGGCGTTCTTATACATTACCTTATTTCCGTTTTTATATGTTTTTATGCATTCATCGTATGTCTACCAAGTTTTCAGAGAATGGTGTAGTAATAGCATTAAATTTTAATAACTTTGGTGTAATTATGACGTCACATGACGTCAGAGCTAATAATATAGTCCGCCATATTGGATTTTGACCAATGACGTCATCAAATTAGCATATTCTATGCATATTAAATGATTTAACTTATATTTAATTATGTAAGATGTTATTAATGTTGGAAAAGAAGTGTAATTTTATATAAAACTCAGAAAATTTTTATGTTTAAACCAAAATTACTTCTATTTTCAAAAAAAAACTACCCGTTGCCATGGCAACAAAAAAAAACATCAACTTACTAGTACAAAACTAATATGAACTTTTTTCCAGAGACATTTTAGGAAAGGTCTCCAAATTTGATACTTCTAGCGCAAGCCGTTTAGCCGCTATCTGAGATCAAAGTTGGGCCTCAAAAGCCCCTTCAGTCTGAAATGGGTTTAAAAATCGGGTATTTCTTCTTGCCTTCTTTTCTTCACAAAAAAAATAGAAAAAGTTCAAAATGTATGATTTTTGTATGTAATGTGGACACAGAGGTTCCCACATCAGTTTGCAAAACAATTGAGCTGGTAGCATGTTGATAATTTCTAAAAATTAGCAAAAAACTGTTATGGGGTCCGCGCGGACCCCAGGTGTACAGATTAATCAGTCCGGGAAGGTGTTCTGTTGAGGGTTAAACAACATTAAACAACCGTCCGAAAATACTCCGCAGTAGCTGCTACGTATACGCATCCCTGATGTCTATATTTTGCCCAATAAAATATCGTGGACGGGCCAATTAAACTCCCGCCATCCAGACCCTACCGCGACACCTCTCTGAATCGGGCGGCGAAGAGCTCCTGCAGCCCCGACGAGTTTTAGATAAAGAGCCCCGAATAGACAGCCCACCCTAACCACGATAGACTGTGAACCAGGCTATTTCATATACATACACTATGCACATCACGCACACAAGTACATCTTATCTCAGTACCACAAGTGAATGTTTACAGGGCTGTGAGATTGCTACCCGTGTACGAGTTTAGATATCACAGTTTGTATGTGTGCCATAGCTAGCTATAAACATCAATATATTACACAAACTGCAATAGACATACAACATAGCAATATATTTATATACATGTTAGTATTATCATTATATGTCTACATTTCTACCAGAGACTGAAAATAAGAAAACTGAAGGGAATCCGCGAATCATCATGTTTTCATAATATTTGATAAACAAGGCTTAGAAAAAAAGGAGACAAGGCTTTGAACACAAGTGCGATGTACAGTGCACCAGCGACACCTTTTGATCTCTACGTGCAATACACAAAACTTACGACCAAAAGGACTGAAAAGAACGGCTGTTATTTTTTTTTTATTTGTACAATGTCCTCCTGCATGAAACTTAGGAAATATGAATTACGAAACTAACATAATAAATTTACTAAATAAAGCCTAGACTGTTGTGGACACTTCGTTTTTTGTTCTTAGTCAATCACGCATCACAATATACGATAGTGAAAATTACTACCACGTAGTCCCCTTCATTAACAGATTATTTTTCAGGAAAGTGTTCAAACCTTGTTTTACAAGTTGTAATTTGTGATGCTATACTCTCATCTGCCAAATAAACATACGGGTACGTTTATTTTTTTGGGCCCAAACATCCACCCAGTACGTTCTTATTTTGCACAGTACGTTTATTAATTTTTTTGAAAACCAGTAATTTTTTTCAACTTCGTGTGAAAAAAATTGACAAATCATCGACGTGAAGACGTTTATAAACGCATATTGTAGCCAGAAACTTGTCATTTTCGGGCCGGTTTTTGCAATCACCGCGTGCATAAATTCGTCTGAATGTTCTATTGTCATGAGTGGTGCTTATCAAAATACAAAATATTAAATGCTCTTTTTTTTGTCTATTTAAATTCCTAATTGCAAATAACAGTTAAAGATTTGTGCATATATCAGTAAGGGTGCATTTTAGTACAAGAGACACAGGTTACCCGTCAATTTTGGTAATTTTCCAGGGGGTACGTTTATTCCGGGGGTATGTTTATTTGATTTTGAAGATTTGTCCGGGGGGGTACGTTTATTCCGGGGGGTATGTTTATTCGGCAGATGAGAGTACGTCGTTCATATACAAACAAGCCTAAAAAGATATCCCGCTGCAGTACTGCGAGAAAACTCAGATCCATTTTTGAATATGACCTCTGTTTACACAATCACTGCTTACATACCTTGAACCTAGAATGGGGACATCGGGGATGTCATCACGAGAGACAATGTGTTCTTCTTCTCCACTCGTCCCTGTCCTCCATCAGTTATCGGAGTTGTCCAGTGTTGATGTCTCTGAGCCCAACATTCCACTCCAAATATCATCAAGATCCATTCATAGCTTCTCAAATTTACGAAAACAACATACTTCCCGGAACTGGGGAGTCCGAAATCTCTGATTTGTTGTTCGAAATGTTGCTTTTTAACTATTTTTTTTTCAAATCATATCAACGATATGAAATCTGTCTAGCGTAATGTACTAATGATTATATCTATTTACAACTCCTTGTCATGTATGATAGACTTAACTCATGGATCGTTAAATGCAGGTCTAAACCTTGATAACGACAAGTCAGAAACCGAGATCACAAGCACCGGAACAGCGCTGTACGTACTTCTTTTCCGTATTCGGGAATGTAGTTAGACTGATGCTCCGCAAGGGGGCGTCTGTGGCTCATTTCCTCCCCTTCATGCAACAGCGAACCATAGTGGGCCAAATGATTATTTTTCTATTTCTTGAATATATTATGGTAAAAAGACATTGCCATTTCATAATGACTCTACTGAAAACATTTAATTCGATGTATTGGGGCCATGTTTTTGTAGCGCGTTCGGCTCGGAACCAAGAGTTCCCGAGTTCGAATCCTGACATGCCACCGATCTTGTGCACTCGGAAAAGGTACGTGGGAGGAAAATTTGCCCACCTAATCAAGGTGAACATAAGTATGTCTGTTGTTGTTGTTGTTGTTGTTGTTGTACATGCAAACGCAAACACGTGTCTTTTTTTTTCTTTTTTATTAAATGTGAAAAACCGTGAGTGTGCCACCGCCATGTCTTGCAAAAAAAAAAAGATTTTGGTATTTAAAAAAAAAAAGAAATTTATTGCACTGGATTGTTGGCTTAATTATAGCATTAGTCATGTGCCACTTACACGGGTAAAGAGAGTGAGAACTCAGTTCAGTCAGTTTTAACTCGCACTAAAGAGGACGTTTAGAACCAAAAATATTGTAAACAACAGATGGACCCAGTATTTATTCTTACATTGGTGTTTGTTAAAAACAGTTTTAGACAGCAGAAAAGAAAAACAGGAGGGGCCATTTTGTTAATCTTCAATAATTGTTACTATTTAATTACGTAATTGATACAAAATGAATATTTCAATAACAGAATAGATAGTTTTACGAGATGTTAAAATTACGTGGCCCTATATCTAACCGTCTAACGTATAACGTTAAAATAACTTTCTTGACTGTAGTGGTTCAATAGACCTCATTCCAGATACATGATTCTATTCTCGCGAGAGCGCATCCTTGGCGTGACCGCGCGTGACCTCGCACGAAAACGAGACCGCCGTTGGGTCACTCCCGGTCAGGTTTCCCATTGAGGCGGCCTAACAATGGAGTCTTCCACAGTCGATAGCGATACTCCAACTTCAACGGTGAGTTTTGCCCGTCCAGTGTAAAATATTGTCGGAACTACGGCTTTCACGGGTAGAGAATGTTGTTGTGGGCATGTGGGATCGATTTCGGCGGGTAGAAATGCATGTTTCTTCCGATTTTGAACAGTTTGGACGGGCGGCATTGTAGCGTATGTGATGCACTTTGTTTACATGCTACGTACGCAGCAAACTCATATAATATGGAGAAAAATATCGAGCTTAGCCGGGTATATAGCCACAAAAACCTAAAAATGTTGGCCCTGGAGTCTTGTGGGTGGAAATTTATGGAGTGTTCGGCGATTTCTCCGTAGATTTATCGATTATAGCGTCTAATGTCCGGCCGTACGTAGAGTGAAACTTTCGTAACTTGGGGAGGGGGGCGGTTGTTATTCTAACGTCCCCCGTTTATTATTATTATTTGTCGATGGAACTTTACTAGAATAGAACGGTAGAAAAACATAACTTACCTTTGTGAGATCCTGTTGGGTAGAAATACGTCTCTTGAACGAAATTTTGGCAGTCGCCCTGAAGATTCATCGATTACAACGTCAAAGCGCCCAGCCAGGTTTTTAGTCACTCACGCAGTGTGGGAGAGGCGGGGCATGTGTTTTTCTAAACGTCCTACGTTTTGGGAGACGGGGATTTTCCAATGTTTACAATATTATAAGAACATCATAAACAGTGTCTGGATGAGATCCTGGCTTCGGGTGGTTCATGTTCTCATTTCTTTATTTATATCTATGTCTTTGTCTAAAACCTTAAACTTTACTCACAAATAATATTCTTCTTATTAATCTGGCATTGCTAAAAAATATAACTGTTAATGAAAATTTCCATATTGTATGATTCCAGGTGCAGCACCCGTCCTTCACTCCTGGGTGAAGCAGAAACCAGAGAGACCAGCTCCAAAGAAGAGATGTTCTCCCACCAAGAAAAAGAAAGGAGCTTGTGGACTTAACAAAGTAAATGTTGCATGTCAACTACAATGTACATAGTTTGAATTTTATTCCATAAAGTTTTGTATCAGTAATGTCCGCATAATTTTCTTTTCGGATGCTAATAAAAACATACTTGGATTGCTTCACATGGTATTTTACTTCTTGTAAAGAACACTTCATATTGTTGCACTCAAACATTGTCATTGCATTTTTGACTGACTTTACAGATTGATGAACCTGAGGACTCCTCCGCTTGTTGTTCGGATCCTGGTCTCGACACCAACATGGCTATACTTCAACCTGACCTGGCAACATCCCCATCACCGACTGCACTGCCATCACAGACCACATCTTCACCATGCTTACCTGACAAACTTTTTACCACCACTTGTACAGAACTACTGAAACTGTCATGTTTATTGAAGTGGCATTGTATTTACATGTGTCTGAAGGTTACAAGAACATGTACATGTTTTTTCACAAATAAAAAAAATGATGAGAAGCAACTTCAAGGAAGTGTTCCTAACTTACATGTATTTTGGAATTTTGGGTACTCTCATGTATGTAATCTACTCATACATGATCTAGTGAAAAAATGAATCATGGCTACATGTTTCAATGAGAAGCAAATGGTGGAAAACCAACTTAAACTATACATGGTTTATTAGGAATGAATTAAATAGTGTTACTGAACTGTTTTCAGTTTCTGATACATGTACATACTGTTAACACACATCTGTTTCCTAGTACATGTACTAGTAGTAGCTCTTTCCTTTTGTACTCAATAAACCCTACATTGTATTTACACTACAACAGTATTTGTGCCTGATAAAATCAATCCACAATAGGATCATACTAAAACCTTTTGGCAACAACCAAATAATACATCTTTGACAACATGAGTGGGGCAAAAACCATGTGATAGGTAGATGTCCTAGCGGCACTGTTTCTATGGTCCTGTGTTGTGCTTTGCAGACTTGAATTTCTTTTCCCTCTTCAGGCAGGTAGTGTTTGTCTGAAAAGAGTTTTAAAAAATGTTAAAATTTTAGACAAAGACATATAATAAAGAAATGAAAACATGAACCACCCGAAGCCAGGATCTCATCCAGACACTGTTTATGATGTTCTTATAATATTGTAAACATTGGAAAATCCCCGTCTCCCAAAACGTAGGACGTTTAGAAAAACACATGCCCCGCCTCTCCCACACTGCGTGAGTGACTAAAAACCTGGCTGGGCGCTTTGACGTTGTAATCGATGAATCTTCAGGGCGACCGCCAAAATTTCGTTCAAGAGACGTATTTCTACCCAACAGGATCTCACAAAGGTAAGTTATGTTTTTCTACCGTTCTATTCTAGTAAAGTTCCATCGACAAATAATAATAATAAACGGGGGACGTTAGAATAACAACCGCCCCCCTCCCCAAGTTACGAAAGTTTCACTCTACGTACGGCCGGACATTAGACGCTATAATCGATAAATCTACGGAGAAATCGCCGAACACTCCATAAATTTCCACCCACAAGACTCCAGGGCCAACATTTTAGGTTTTGTGGCAATATATCCGGCTAAACTCGATATTTTTCGAAGTTAGCTGCGTACGTAGAATGTAAACAAAGTGCATCACATACGCTACAATGCCGCCCGTCCAAACTGTTCAAAATCGGAAGAAACATGCATTTCTACCCGCCAAAATCGATCCCACATGCCCACAACAACATTCTCTACCCGTGAAAGCCGTACTTCCGACAATATTTTACACTGGACGGGCAAAACTCACCGTTGAAGTTGGAGCACCGCTATCGACTGTGTTAGAACGTACTACAGGGAATCCGCGACCACACGGCGGTCTCGTTTTCGTGCGAGGTCACGCGCGCTCACGCCAAGGATGTGCTCTCGCGAGAATAGAATCAATATGGCGACTGTATCTGGAATGAGGTCTATTTCAGATTTAGTCAAACACGCCAAAGTGACCTGGCCATGGTGACTGTTTTTTCTCGGTCACTTCGACCTGTCCAAGGTGACCACCTGGCCAACGCGGTCGACCGTCGTGAGTTGTGTCTGCTCAAGGTCCAACCTGCCCATGACGACAACACCATTTTTGATCGTGTTGATTCTTTTGTTCGACATAAATTGTTCCATTTGCCACCCTCCACACTTACATTTACGACAGAACTGAAGATGCTCACAGCATTTGACATTAAACCACATTTACTTTTAAAAAAATTATGCCTCAGTCATGTTGTGAGGCGACCCTCTTCAAGGCGACCACCTGTCCCCTGGGTGGTCGCCTTGGGCAGGTTTGACTGTTGATATATGCAGAAGACTGAAACACCCTTTACAATTTAGACAATCCCAATTTTTTTTACAAAAAAAGACGTTTCTCAAACCCATTATAGCGGTTAGATATGGTATTGCAGTAAAATACCTTTTAGCTTTAAGATAACCTGCAATAACTTGCTATGGAATGAAGAAGAAAACAACAAAAAACAAGCACTGCATCATTTAATTTCTCTTTATTGTGATATAACCCTCACACAGGCTGACAGGGAATGTTTCAAACATGACAAATCTTCTAGACTATATCAATTATCAAAAGCTTTAGAAAGAATGACGATTTCATACTTATAGCTTCAAACACAACATGGGTATTTCATGTTTATAAACAAAAGCAAATAAAGTCAGAAGTCTCTAGCAATCTAGATACCTGGTTAACTACTAAGATAAAATTGTTAATTCAGAGTTTAATGAGCTTATTGAGTGGTGTGTGCAGTTATATACTGTCTAGCTGCAGAGATAGGAAAAAAAAAACAGTTTTTCTCTTTTATTTCATTTCCTCTATACTGGGATATGTATAAACCAAATATGAAGGTTCGAAGATTTCACCTATTCAAGGAAAATGGATACAGAGTGAGTGCGGGGTGACGGTAGAAAAAATGACGATTTCATACCTATATATTCAAACACAACAGGGGTATTTCATTTATAAACAAAGGCAAATCAGAAGTCTAGCAATCTAGATGCCTGGTAAACTACTAAGATAAAATTGTCAATTCAGAGTATGATTAGTTTCTAATAAACGAATAAACTTGACTATTTGGTGGTGTGTGTAATACTGACTAGCTGCAAATATACGAAAGACCGTTTTTCTTGTTTATTATATTTCCTCTTTACTGAGATATTAATAACCAAATATGTTGGTTTAAAGATGTCAACTATTTAAAGAAAATGGATACAGAGTGAGTGCAGGGTGACAGTTTTTATCAAACAATTTGAATCCTCGACCTGTCAGCTGGGTTAGTGTCTGGCAACTTACGTTTTGAAGTTGGCAGGACGGACCATCATTTTGGACTTTTTCAGATATGGCCAATAGGAGCCTCCAAAGGGGGCCCAATAGATACCATTGCCACTGTGACTGGTACGGTCAGAGGGGCGGAGGTACGGGCCGTTCAGGGCAGACCCACAACAACTATTGTACCACCAACCTCCCGCAATGTTCCTCTGATCACCAGCACAGGACCCGCTATAGGCATCACGGTCTACATCCCTAGCACTGAAGGCCTGACCCGATAGGTAGTACTTTAATGATGAAGACGATAAGTAGAACCCATCCCCAGCGGTCCCACTGTACCCACCAACAGAGAGGCGATAGTTGGAACTACTCCCCACCGAGAATGACGAATACTTGGCGTACTTGACCACACTATTCCAATCTTCCAACTGTACGTACAACGTATACGTGTGCTGATTGGTCAAACGGTACATGTTCTCCAAACCCAACCACTGCTCCCCATTGGATGACCCAAACCCGTACCTATAGTCGTCATAAGGTCGGTTAAAGTCGATAGACCCGTCAAACCTCCTCTGTATGACCGTCCACCCTCCCCCGTCTGTGGTCTGATCACAGTATACAGAGATCGGGCTGGTCAGACCTACAGGCAATATTTTGTGCACACCACTAGACACGGTATGATACAGAGTTTGGGCTGTGTGGATCTCAGAGCAGTCGGAAAAGTAATTTCCGCGCTTGCTTAAGGCCGGTGGAGCCGGGTCGGTGTGAGCTGTCTCGCCGTCGACATTGCCTGGCTCCTCGGGATTGTCGTTGTCAGTTTGGTCCTCGATCTCACGAGACAGAAATTCTGTAAGGAAACAACACTCAGTCAGAAGACAGATGGAATGACACAATGTAAAACATGTAAGGCCATAGCAAATAATTTTGTGGATAACATCAGCGCACGCATTGATTTTCACCTAATTTGGGAAAAAAGGAAATTTTGATGCCCTCTGACAGTGGTCAATAAGCCAAAATGGGCAAAGATGCCTGTTGCCGTGTAGGAACGTGGACAGCAGATAAAGAAGAGAGGGGACAAGACTCTGATTAAATGTGTTTTTTCTACTTAAATGCAGTAAGGAATTTCATTCCTTTTATATGTGATAATGGCTGTGTATACATGTATCTGATGTTCCCACTGCATCAAATTCATTTGTACAATGATTAAAACTTAATTTTTTTAATGGTTGTTACATTAAGAAATGAATGTTGTAAAAATGGCAATAAACTAAGCACAATATAGGTATCATTTCTTGTTTAACAAGGTTTATGATGTCAAGATTCAAAAATATATGAATCTTGTTTTTTGGCTCGCCTTTTTTTCCGCACTATTGCATTAGATTTCGAGTCTGCATCGTGCTGCATAGTATGCCATACATGGAATTTACTTATTGTGGCCTACGTCCTTTTTTCAAAGCAGGAAAGTAGAAACAGAAGTCTGGTTCTAGCCTCTAGTATATTCACATGCCCCGTTGTAGAAAATAAGAGACAATTTGATAAAACTCGAAAAATTCTAATCATTCCGTTTATACTAGAATAATGTAGAATGTGCAGTTCCTTACTTTTTATCAGATCAAAAATCTGGCCGTCCTCACTGTCTGGTTGCTCAGGGTTTTCGTTGCCTTGACCATATGTCTCCCGAGCACGTAGTGATTCTGTAAGGGAAAAATAGGAAAATCAGGAAAAAATGAGGAAATGTCATTAAGTTACCTCGACAGTCACTTTTTCAAAACAGAAAACGTACAAACAAAAGTCTGTTTCTATATGCTCCGGTTCATGTACGCGTAGGTTTCTAGGAACATGGAAATCCAGTCTTTTCGTCGAAAGAAAAACGGAGTCTTACACTAGAATACTAACTAATCAGCAACACCAATCGAATCTACGAAGCCCACAACGTCACATCCACAAACCTCTTCCACAGCCCTTCCACAGCGCGCTGCCAAGTATATACGTTTGGCACTAGTAAACTCAGATGAACTTACACATGAACTTGCTTCACTCATTTAGATACATATCAGGAGAGTCTAATAAAGAAGCTCTGTGAGCCTTCTTCTCTATTGTTTCCACAACAAGAACCGCGCTATTTGAGCCTTCATCTCTATTGTTTCCGCAACAAGAACCGCGCAGTGCTTCAGCATTGCAAATTACTCAAGACAATAGTGGAAAACATGCATCAATAGCGGCATACTGGCACAATATTGTGTACTAGTAGCTAAGCTTGTCTATGACCTTTGCAATGCCTACAATAATAGTCATCTTGTAACCGTAGTCTTCTTTGGCATGCGCAGTTCAGTTCAGTTCAGTCCACCTTGTAACCGTAGTAAAGGCACTGTAAATGTTTCAACTGCGAACTAAGACACCGTGAAAATCTTCTCTTTTTCTATTTATTGAAATTGCAACAGTGCAATACACGCGGAACAGAGGCAGCTGTTGCTGGTGTTGTGTCCCGCACATAGAAACGAATACTGGACCGACAATGTAGTGGGGAAAGTCGTGTAAAGTGCCTTTCCCAAGGGCACAAGATCGGTGGCATGTCAGGACTCTAACCCGGGACCTCGTGATTCCGAGTCGCGCACGCTGCAGTTGCGCCACACGACCCCACTTCTTTCCTTTCCTAACGCGAAATTTACCCCCCCGCGAACAAAAATGAATTTAAAGTACTTTTCAAAGGCATAGCTCTCTTCAACAGCGCTGCCAAGGGATATACATTTGTACCTGCCAAACACCTCTACCACAGCCTTGACACACAGCGCTGCACCGATGCGCTGCAACCCCCTTAACATAGCTGACGGTCCCTCATAGTGTACGACCTTTGACCTGAACTCTTTAACTAACTTTACACTTTTTATTTCCATCTTACATCCACTAAATGTGCACCGAGGCTCTGCAACCCCCTATTGGAAAACATATCAAACATTCCCTGATTATTTCTAACTGTTACAGTATACACAGTTACTGTTACAGTATATTTCATATTGTGTGTGTAACTAAATTTATATCTGCTGTATTTATAACACAATCATAACAGAGTCTATAGTAAAAACTTAGAGTAGAGTAGCCCAGTAGAGTAGCATGCGAATGTACATGTAACCACGTTGTTGTTTTCCACCACAATATTGCGTGGATTGTTTAGTTATTGGAAAGCAAGATGGCCACAAAATTCTATTTCTCTGTGAGCCACATTTAGTGTATGTAAGGTCAAAGGTACTATAAGGGACCGTAATAGGGGGGTTTAGGGCCTCGGTGCAGCGCTGTATGTCAGGGCTGTGGAAGAGGTGTATGGCACTTGGCAGCGCGCTGTGGAAGGGCCGCGGAATCGCGCTATGAAAGGTATATCCTTGGCAGCGCGCTGTGGAAGGTCCGCGGAAGAGCGCTATGGAAGGTATATCCTTGGCAGCGCGCTATGGAAGGGCCGCGGAATCGCGCTATGGAAGGTATATCCTTGGCAGCGCGCTGTGGAAGGGCCGCGGAATCGCGCTATGAAAGGTATATCCTTGGCAGCGCGCTGTGGAAGGTCCGCGGAAGAGCGCTATGGAAGGTATATCCTTGGCAGCGCGCTGTGGAAGGGCCGCAGAATCGCGCTATGAAAGGTATATCCTTGGCAGCGCGCTGTGGAAGGTCCGCGGAAGAGCGCTATGGAAGGTATATCCTTGGCAGCGCGCTGTGGAAGGGCTGTGGAAGAAGTATGTTGAAGTGTCGTCGTGGGCTTCGTACGAATCAAGCATCTACTATGACTACTTAGGCCATGTTGATTTGATTACATGGATGACATCCTTTGGGAACCACAAAACTGATGCGATCGTACGAATAAAAAAAAAGTTTTGCAAAAAAACTTCCATTATAAAATTTACGTGGTCGTTGAACAAATAACACATAGTATGGTTTGGCGAATAATCTACTCTTCAAATTCATAACGGCATGTATTTGCTTATTTGCAAGTGTTTTACAGTATGGTTAAAACCTTTTTTTTGGAAACGGCCGAAAATTCATGCGAGCGCGAATGTCATCCATACAATCAATTCAACATGGCATTACGGTGAGCTTGGATTGAAGAGATAATCGACAATAGTGCCAATAGATAGCACGAATATATTTCTACAACACACAGAGATAGATGAAAGATATGATAACAGTATATTTATTTTGACACTCTTGGAATACAATTATATAACCGACAACTGAAACAGCCATTTAACTCAAGTGCAACATACCACAGGTGGAGGGGTCGAGAGACTTGAGGTCGTCTTCTGCAGCTTTGCACAGGACATTTGCCGGAGAGGTGTCGTTGGGGTCGGCCTTGGTCAGATCTGCACGGAGAAAGTCATTTTATTAGAGATCTAGAGTCCTTGTCGCAAAAGGCAAGCATTTGCCGGATTGACGTCGTTGAATTGAGACAGTCAAACCTGTCCAAGCCGGCCACCCTGTGGACCAAAGAAAAGCGGTCACCTTGGACAGGTGGTCTCCTTGAAGAGGGTCGTCTCACAACATGACTGAGTCATAACTAATGGTTTCCAAGTCAAGATGTTTAATGTGAAATGTTAATTAAACATTTTTGTGGTGAATGGATGTGGGTATAATGGCACATGGAACAAATAACGTTGAACATAAACATGTTTTTGTCCCAACAGTTGAGGCAAACTGGCTGGTTTCTCCATGATTTCTCATTAGCTATCATCAATAATTAACATGATCGAAAATGATGTGGTCACCATTGGCAGGTATCAGGCCTTGAATGGACCCAACTCAGGGTGGTCACGGTCACGTTGGCCAGGTGGTCACCTTGGGCAGGTTGTTTAATGTTTGTTTGAATGGGGGACATTTTAGGACCATAAAGGGTCACCATGCCAGGTAGCCAGCTTGAAGAGGTGGTCACTTTGGCAGGTTTGACAGTAACTTAAATTTACAATACCAGCTTTGAATTTCAGTGGTTTAGCAGGACTTTTGCCGTATTCTTTATTCACCCTCTCGCATTCGTTATGGGATCTTGAGAGGACCTCATCCATAAAATTAAGCCAGTGTTGCCTCAATCTTACACACTCAACATAAGTAAATATTATATCAACATTATCGTTTGTGATGGAGTAGGAAGACTTTTTAACAATGTCTGAAAAGCTTGCGATCGCGAGAAAAGTATTTTGCATGACCTTAAACCTATGATGTCTGGAACAACTATACACAAGAATTGTCTGCCTACCATTTAGAAAACAAATTCCGGCTCTAGGTGGCAAATGTGCTGATGCTGGCACATAAGCGTACCAAATCCGTAGTGTTTTTTTTTGCCACACATTTAGACAGATTAGCCGAAGAGACTGAACAGGAATTTCTACATTAGGTCTGTGAGTTTATACATGTAGTAGTTAAGAATGCTGCCGGCTTTTCCGTTCACAGGTTGGCCGCCTCCATACTTTCACAATTAAGTAATCGCGAAGTTCTTAAGAACCTGGTCAACGTTCAACTATCCATTCTTGGCGCTTCTCATCCGGCGGTGGAAATCGGTGAAAGTTTATCCGCTTGTCATTGGTATTCCGACTGTTGTTATTGCAAATTACACAGGTCGGTATGATGAAGAAGAAAGAGATAGTTAAAACAACTGAAGGACAGAGAAATGCAAGAAGGGCGATCGAATTGCATCGAACGCACGAACGTGCGACGTTGACTTGGTTCTTATAAGAACTTCGCGATTACCTCATTGCGAACGATAGCATGATGACCAAAAACTTTAAGTTGCTAAATGAAATAGTATTCAACACCCACCGGTGTCCTTGCATGATTCCCTGATTTTACACAGTATCTGGTGCTTTGTGTCGCCGTCCTGCGATGTTCCACAGACGGAGCTGCAGACAGCAGTGATGAGTAGGATCAGGTACAGCATCATGGCGGTTTTAAGGCTGTCGGCAGTCTGGACACAAACCTGAAAGAGGATCGTATAAAATAAACCTTGCGCAAATCTGCCAGCATTTGGAAACCCACTTTAGACAGAAACATCTTAGAACGTGTACGTGATTACTTTGTACGTGGGTTTACATTATATAATATATCAATATATCTATAAATATATCTATCTATCTATATTTATCTATCGATCTATCTATCTATCTATCTATCTCTCTCTCTCT